CTTGTATGCTAATGTTGTTACTGTTAGCTGTTATCTTTAAGTAGAGGAACTGAACCCTGAGCCTGAAACCTGAACAGAAATCTGAAACTTCAATTTTAAGTTAAAGTAGAGAGCATTTTACTTCCACAGGCCTCAGGTTTATAACCAAATACCAGCAACATTTCGTCCTGTATCGTCTGTAAACGTTGTTTAGTTGTGATTAGCAGATGCTAAGTAGCATGCTAAGGTTTGGAATTGGTAACCATTACCATAATTATTATTCTGTCCTATTATTCTGAAACATTTGTATTATTTGAAAATTAATTAATGTAGATTCAAGATGTGTAGAGTTTTCCATGGATCTCTTTTGGATCATACTTTTCTATGTGCCTACAGGTCATTTCAAAGAGCTTGATGTTTAGCTGCAGAGCATTCAGATGTAACCTGACTTCAAATCTGTTAGTGCATTTCTGTACTTTGTGCCAAAATGGTGTGGAGTACAGAAGTTTCGATCTAATTTCAGGACACTGGAGGCACACTTAAAAATAATAAAACGAGTTCATGAAGGATTCATTTAAAGCCCCAAAAAGCAAATACAAAACTCAAATCCAGAAATAACCAAGGCACAACACACACTTTGCCCAAGACTGAAGGGACAGCAGGGCTATTTATACACCGAGGGCTGTTAGGCACTAAAACGATTGTAATGATTGAAGTCCGTATTCACTCCTGTTAACAGGACTGCAATACATAAAACATAGAAATACCAAGGACCACAGCATTTTGTCATTCTGCTCGAGTGTTCAGCAAAAAAAGACTTTTGGACTTTTATGGACAAAAATATTTTATGTCTCAGCCGATGTAAAGCTTGGATAACTTGTTACTCTGAGCAAATTTAAAGTATCTGGAATGTTTGTCTATGTTCAAATTAACAGTAAACACGTTGGTACTAATCTTGTATCCCAGCTGAGGGAAGTATTTTATTCATTTATTTATTCATCATTTGTTTGCTTTTAACATTTGGTTTGTTTTTTGAAAAGACTGTTTTGTCTTAAATGTGTCATGAACTCTTGACACTATGACTATGCACAAATGTTTCCCTGTGTGATATAGGGACGCACACACACAACTTCTGCAAGTCCTCTTTGCAATCTGTTTCAGGACAAACACGTGTATTAGACTCGCAGTGTGTTATTGTGCATTCTTTTGTTTTAATCATTTCTGCTTGGTTTTTCTAAGCAAAGTAAACTTTTTCACTGGAAGCACAAAGATTAATGGGGACTGTAACGTTTAACAAAAATTCTTAATATAGTAGTGCTGGTATAATTATTTGTGTTAGGGTTTGGCTAGTAACAGACCACTTTGATACTTAAGTTTTCATCCTTAAGTAATGGTCACTCAAAACTATAAAGTTAGTGTAACTTGCCTCTCTTAAGTTAAAGTGAGTTATTTTTTCTTTTGAAGCAGTGAGTTTCCAGTCATCCATCATCTTCTAATTATCCATAGAGGATCCCAAGGCATTCCTAGGCTTATGGGTTCTTTATTTACAATGGGATATTCCAGCTGAATGTCTGGAAATCACCCTGAACAG